GGCCAATGACAAGGCTCTCAGGAGAGCAAGTAACCATAGTCCAGCTACATGGGTCAACAGAGTCTCCATCCCAATTCTCAAGCACACCATGGGGATCTTGAAGGGAAGCTTTTATACCCATCAGAGCTTGAACTGAAATGAATCAAATGAAATAATGAATCGATGTTCTAAATAGACAGACCCATAGGGATCCATTTTGTTCTGTTTTTTCTCACACTAACCTTCATAGTTTACACCTTTGGGAGATAGCAAGCCATTTATTGCAGAAGCCCAAAGCAATAAAGAAGCCACAAGACAGGAAACAGTAGCCTCAGCTCTGCTCATACCCATTAAATGCTCATGAACAAACCACCAGAAGGCACTGAAAATGGAGGCTGGTTGAAGAAGAAGAAGGAAATAGGCAAAACCCTCAAAAGGGTTTGATTGTTTAATGAGGAAAGCTTCAAATCAGAGGCTATTTCGGTGGTTTTGATGCCAGAAATCTGCCATTAAACAGAAAATCATCAAATGTCAGAGCCAAAATGGAGGTGGAGGTGGAGGTGGAGGAGCAGTTTGCTTTTGGTGGCAGTAGGCAGTGGCACTAACTAAGGCATGCTTGTCTTTTGAGACCGGAAATTTTGAAGAAGAATATAAAACGAAGAACCATAAAAAGAATCAAACGAAACAAACCAAATCCACGTAAGTTTCAAGATTAAAATAAATAAAAGAGGAGAGAGAGGGGGAATTATTTTAGCTTTAATCATGTCTTATGCTTTTAGAAGAGTGCCATGTGAATTCCAAATTCCCTTCAACATATTATTCTTAATCTTACAAAACAAGTACAAACAAAACAATATAGAAGCAGGTGATTCAAAACCATTCAAAACCACCTTTTTTTTTTCAAAAACTCTAAGCTGTAAGACCAAATCTGAGTTCTTGATAGATCCTCCAACCCACTTTTTTGGTTTTCTGAAGGTGACCCACTAGAAATTACACGATTTTGATTCATGGGTCAGTGAAATCTTATGAAGATTCACCTAATATCATAAAAAAAAAAACTCTTTTTTTCCCCCCTCTGTTTCTTAATAACTCTGGTAAAACTTAGATGATCTAGATTCGTATCATTCAACAAACTAAAATGAGGAATTCTGGAAAGAAAGAAGTTAAGAGAAATGTGAGGAAATGTTTAAGAGAATCAAAGCATTGAAACTCAGAAAGGGACAATGGAAAATGGGTTTTGTTTTGAGGAATCAAACATTCTTCGAGTTTGGCCATTGGGCAAAGTTCTAAAAGAATCCATCATGGAGAATTTGAGAATCTCGAGGAGGCTAAGGAGAAAGAAACTGAAAGAGGCTGAGCTCGATTTTTATGATAATGGAGTTGCTCAACCACTATCAAAATTATTACACGTTCATTTTTTTCTTGCAAAACATTCAAATATTTTTTTCCAAACATCTGAACGAGGGAAAAGAAGATTAAACATTCTTTATAAGTGTGTATAAACCTTTTACTCATAAATGCATTTTAAAATCATGAGAATAATGTAGAGTCAAATATCGAGTGACACTAAGTTTCGGAGAGTGGATTATGAAAACTCACATCGATTAGAGAGGAAAACGAAACGTTGTTGTAAAAGTGTGAAACCTCCTCTTAACAAACATGTTTTAAAACGGTGAAGTTAATGTCTAGAGACTCTAGGAGTCGTTTTAAAAGGGTGGAGGGGGGAAGAAGTAGGCTTTGTATAAGAGAAAGCATTGTTAAGCAGACAGTCATTCCACCAAAACTGATGAAAAAAGGAAGTGCTTTTGGAAAAGCAAAAGCTGACATTTTTTTTTTTTTTAAATTTATTTATTGGGTTTTGGTTTCTCTCTCTAAATAATTTGTTGTTGGTGATAGATGTGATATTATCCCCCTTCGCAGGGGCCTGCGCGTGCAAACACCTCCTCAATTATAGCTCAACAGTGGTGGCAGCAGTGCCCCCTTGCCCCTTCCCCTCTCCACCATCATCATCTTTCCACTTTTTAACCCTTTATTCCTTTAATATACTCCTACTTTCTTAACCATCGTTGAGCTGACACGATCCCGGCTTGGTTCGTGGTCTCTCGATTCATAAAGTTTAATTGTATAAAGCTTCGTCTTTTCATTTCAATTCTCTTGTTCTTATTTTTCGTTTACTTACAACTTCAATGTAACAGTCTAATCCTACCGCTAGTAGATATTGTCTGTTTTTATCTCATCTTCTCGTACACTATAAGAAATGACGGAAGTGGGATCTCACCATTAATTTGTAAAAGGTGATTTCTAGATTTTTTTAAAAAATTAAGCATTTAGGGATGAAAGTTTAATTTTATAGGTTTATTAAATTAAAAAAAATAGATATTTTAAAAAGAAATAAGAAATTTAGTTGTGTTGGTAAAATAAAATAATATAATATTTAGAGTTGGGTTATTTATTTAAAACTTGAATTTTGGAAACTACATCCATTTAATTATTAAAATTAAAAATTATGTGTAATTATATTCTTAAAATTTTAAAATTTGAAGACTATATCCACTTAATTCTAAATAAAATTTTAAAATATTTGAGTGAAGTGTCTCATTCATTTATATGGAATATTAAAAAAAATAAAATAAGAAAAACACAGACATAAGGAATATTTCTCTAATATATTTGTTTCAATTATTTTATCATGTTTGAAACATTCCCCCTTCCTCCTCTTTTATTTCAGACAATTCTCCATTTTCCATTACGCTTCAATTACTTAAACAACCCTCAATTTTTTTATAAATACAAATATTAATTTCAATGTAATTTTCTTTTATCCCGAATTAAAATAAGAATTAATTTTACTCTTTTCCTCACGAGAGTATACTATAAATAGTAAATTAAAATTTTAAACTCTGTGATAGTTCGATCGGAAAATAACTGTATATAAAACTTATCTGAAACTCAAATTTCTTAAAGACTTAAATATATAATAAGTTAAAATACATTGAAATTAGACCCAAAATTTAGGGAAGATATAGAGAGAGAAAGAGGACCACAATCAATAAAAAATAATAATAATAATAAATAAATAAATATATAAATAAAGTAGAATGGACCAAGCATAAGAAAAGACCATAAAACTTTAATAAAAGAATGACAAAAGTGAAAAAAGAGATTAAATTCCCAAAAATTCCAAGAACAGCTATACTCCTTTATTGTCTTATTCATTCAACATTATAATTTTAAATATATTCCGTAACCCTACAAAATGTATCATAATAAACCCTTTAATTTGATTTTTACCTAACATTTTTTTGGTGGGTCCCGCTCGTTTATGAACGTTGGGTGGGTGACACGTTACTAAGACAAGTTTGAGTAGTATCTTCATCGATCGTGTTGTGTAATGGTCTACTAAAATTTGTATGTATCCTTTGTCAACAACATATTAAATACTCCTTTTTTGTAAAGTTCTTTTCACAAAAGTTTTTCTCTTTTTGTTGTCGGAATTGTTTTAAATGCTTGGTGAAATGTTGTCGTGTGGATGTAGAGATCGAGGTGTTTGGTTCATTACAAGTGATAACAAGACACTACTCCAAATGCAAATGCATAGTGGTCTACTAAAATTTACAATGACATTCTAACTACAATTTGTTCAATACAAATCATTGAAAAGCTCTACCTTTTGTTTTTGAAAAGTTTCGTTCAATATAAGGGTTAGGATGTTGATTTGTGACTAATAATATACTAATATCAACGGGTCTATTGAAATTGTGATGAAATTAATCTATCTAGTTAAGATATCATATCCTCGATTAACATGACAAATATGTCCTATTTATCAAAAGGACCCGTCTGTCCTATTAAAGGGGCAACTTTGTTTAAAAATAAATAAATAAAAATAAAAATGAGTGGGAGGGAAGAGACATTTTCTTGTTTCAAAATCTATAAGCCATAAGGTATACTAAATAAGTAGACAATGCAAATGCCTATATATTTCAAAGTTGAAATGATGCAATATGGTCTTCCAAATCCAAATGTTTTGAGAGTTTGACCCATTTTTGTTCTCTCTTTTCTCTAGTGGGATTTGGTAGGAAGCTTCTTTAGCATGCATATGGATGAATTTCAATTGGGTAATTGAAGATGTTGGGATTGTGGGTGTTTTCAAGGATTAAAAAGATTATGTAGTGTTACTTCTCGATATTTCTGAGAATTTGAATTCGGTTTCTATCTAGTTCTAGTCTCACAATTTTAAAACGTGTCTAATAGGGAAAAGTTTTCACACCTTTATAATGAATGTTTCGTTTCTCCTCTCCAACCGATATAGGATTTCACAATTCACCCCCTTTTGAGGTCCGGTGTTTTCACTAGCACATCGCACAGTATCTGGCTCTGATACCATTTGTAACAGTTCAAGTCCATTACCAATTGATAGTGTCTACTTTGGCCTATTACGTATCGTCATCAGTCTCACGATTTTAAAAATCGTATGTTAGGGAGAGATTTCCACATCCTTATAATGAATGGTTCGTTCCCCTCTCCAACCGATGCGCAATCTCACAATTAAGGACCATTAAAAATGAACAGCATATTTTAATAACTAAATAAAAACAAAATTTAAACTCTACCGACCAAACATGGTACTTTTGAAACTTTAAGAACAGAAAAAAAAAAACATAATACAAATCACGACGACTAAAAGTGCTCGTTTTCAATACTCTGACTAGATAAAAACTAAGTTCAAATTTACTCCTTTACAAGGCCCCAAGATCCCAAGATGAAAAAAAGCTTCAAAATCCATAGTTAGGTCACCACCATTTCAAAGCAAAAGAGTATGCGTGTCCAAGTCATTGACAAGAAAGTGAAAGAGATAATGAAAGACAGTACAGAGTAGACAAGGATGGTTTAGGGTAAAAAGTTGTATGAGGGAACATGGTGTCCCATTTTTTTTTTTCTCTCTTTTCTCTAAAGGGGAATCACTTCATTTTATTTGAATTTCCATCCCCTTTTTCACACCTTAATTTGGTCCATTCATCTTTTATTTATTTCTTTATTTTTACAGTTCAATCAATCAATACACCCTTCTGTTGGGGGTAATTTGCCTCCCAAAAACATTACATCTTCCAAACATATAAAAAACCACTTGAATTTTAGGATATGGTTTTGATTTTGAAATTCTCTTTTGTGTTACTATCATTGTTCTCCTCTTTTGGATCTTTTTTATAATCATTATAAGGGTAGATATTATTTTTGATTTAGACCAAAGTTGATTAATAGAATTGGATTACTTTAAATTACAAGTTTAAAGCTTTCAATTTGTACTCAACAATATAAAATCACAGCAGATCTTCATTCCTTCACTAATCAGATTTCTAATCCAATATTAAGCAAAAAAAATAATGAACTGATCCAAACCTGAAACTGCGATGAGTTCTTAGATAATAGTGGGGGAAACTAACCTTTTTCTTTTTGTTGAAACAGCAAGATAATAATCCTCCCAATGGGAATTTGAAGGTCTGAAATGGCTAAGGATTTAGCAAAGTTGGTCCCCCCAAGCGCACCTCCATCGCTGGTTTCTGCAATAAATGTTGTGAGAAAGGGATAAACAGCAAGTGGGGGGAGCAATAGCTACTAATCATAGAAAAATGATGACAATTTTGTCACACTGTCTGTAAGAACCTAAGTTGTCTTTTGTTTGCTGCCTACATTCTAATGAACACTACAAGGATTGAAGTTGACAATCAAAAGGCTCCAACACCAATGAAGACTATTTCTTTGTTCTACATTTACTCTCTCTATTTTCTTTCGTATAATCTCCAATCCGGTAACGAACACAGCAAAATGATACAACCCCCCTTGTCTCGTTTAGTCTCATTCATATCGTTTTGCTCATGGACACGTCATAATCAACATGTTTGGCAAAATGTGTCTTGGCTTGCCAAAAGAATTGCTACTCAATACAATATGGGGAGGAAAAGCCAAGTATCAGACATCAAAACTATGAAATCTAGCCCAAAAAATGATATAGCATCTTCTTCGTCCTTTTACTTTGAAAAAATCAACTACACAACCCACCACTAGCAGATATTGTTCTCTTTAAATTTTTCCTTCCAAGCTTCCCCTCAAGATTTCACCCTTATAAGAAATGCTTCGGTCTTCTCTCCAACCGATGTGAGATCTCACAATCCATCCCCCTTGGGGCCCAGCGTCCTCGCAGGCACACCGCTCGGTGTCTGGCTCTAATATCATTTGTAATAGTTCAAGCCCACCACTAGCAGATACAGGTCGTTTTCTACGTGCTGTATTTCGTTTACAACTTCAGCGAGCGCACCAGTTGGTCAAGTGCTTCCTTTCCTCTATAAAGTGTTCTCCCTCTTCTGTGAAGTTAAGGGACCCGGCTCTTCCTTGTCATCTTTGAACTTTTCCTTTTTGATTTTCTCTCAAAGTTTTAAAACACGTTTACTAGAGAGAGGTTTCCACGCCCTTATAAGGAATGTTTCAATACAATGATGCATCAATATGAGAGATCACAGGATCCATGATGCATCAATACAATAGGAAAAAAAAAAAACTAGTTAGCAACATACATTTATTAAGTCAATCCATACATAATTTAGTGGATAAAGTGCATCTTACCGTTCCAAACGTAACGTTGATGGTTGGATCTCTTACCCTCACAATTATTGTACTAAAAAATAGACAACTATTACAAGTTATATTTAATGCCACATGCTACAAGTAAACCTACATGAAAATATAACCGAGAGAAAGTTCTGAGCATTTTTAAATTTGAAATGAGTTTTGAACGTTTGAAGTCATTAAACACAGGAAAGTATAAGTAAACCAACCTGAAAATATAACTAAGACAAAGATCCGTGCATTTTCAAATTTGAAATGAGTTTTGAACTTTTAAGCCATTAAATAAACTCTGGAAAGTAACATGTGTGGCTTAAAGAAAGCTAGACTGTCAAGGGCTTTGTCAAAAGTGACTGCTAATGAGACTAGGTAGTTTTACGTTTGCTAACATACTGATGGGACATTTGATGTTCCATGCTTGCTATGCGTTATAATGTATTATAATCAACATTTTCTTTATCACCTTTGCTGCAATGACAAGCTAGAATCTCATGCTTTGCTTTAAACCAAAGATAGATATCTGTATCACTTTTCAAGTATATTAGAAAAAAAACTCAAGGCAATGTAAACATAATTAGTATTGGTACCATGAATATAAGATCCACCAAAATTTCACATCAATTAGAAGGAAAGGACATCATTATGGAGAATTGATAAGCTCTAACACGATTAAGTAAATTATGAGTCAGGTAGGCGATTAACATCATTATGTAGTGCTAACAAATGTTTTGAATGTTAACCAAATCAGTTGTCTTCCTTGAAATACTAAGAATGAAAAACTTTCAGACAAGTTCATTATGGGTTAGAACACATGCTACATTTTTTTCACTCGTTTAGCACAATGAAAACCTTCAACACATGGAGTGAGAACTTTTATGCATGAATAAAAAACTACAACAATAAAGTAAACAAGGCAGAATGCTTGCAGACATGCGCAACTTACTCTAAAGTCCAAGAATAGCATAGTTGAGGGCTTTACCATACAATAATACCTTTATACAGCAGCACCTACAGAATTTTACCTGATATTCTTGTCAGCCAAGAAGTGTTGAGAGCAACATATTGGAGATGGCGGCCTGAATTTTCAGCTTTTCTGGAAGTTTCCTATATTCTACATAAAACTTAAATAGGAACCTGTACAAGAGTCAAGAATCAGTCACTTCATTGATGTTTTTCGCACGGTAAATTTCAAATAAATCATCTCTGCATTTTTCCTGTATCACACTTAAAGAGTATCCTCTCTCCGCCTTCCCTGTGTCGCACTTAAAAAGTATGAAGAGATGATGAAAAAAATAACTAAAATAAGGTTTTGAAAGATTAATCAGCTGATTTTGTCTAACAATTAGACCCATTTGATATTGAAAACTGTGCTTGTTTTTTCATCACATCTATCTTTCTTAAGAAAACATTTTAAATTCTTAGACAAATTCCAAACACTAAAACAAGTTAATAAAACAAGTGTGAAAAGTACATAATAAAACAAGTTAATCATTCATGGGTGAGGTGAAAGTAGCATTTATAGGCTTGATTTTCATAAACCAAATGGTTATCAAATGGGACTAGTATTATTATCATTATAGATAACACATACTTTTAGAGGAGGGTACAAATTAGAGACCCTACATTACATAAATAAGATAGGAAGTTGTAGGAAACTGGACTTTCCTTGATCACAGGAAACTTGTTACCTTGATTTTTATTCTCTATAAAAGAAATTAATCTAAACATGCTTCCGTTAGGTCAATAAATTTTTTGAGGAACAGATGTATTTGAAACAAAACCTTTAAATTGATTAAACTCCACATGAAACCTCATAAACTACATTGTAGAGAGAAATTATATGGAAGCCTAAGAAGCCAGATTTGGGGGAGGAGAAGCAGCTTCTACAAGCCTCGTAGAATTAAAAAGCTCCAGAACATCAGCATGATTACGAATGTAACCTGGACATTTTGAAAGGAAGTCTTGAGCATCTCCGTGCCTTCCAGCTTGGAAAAATGCTTCAAACAAATGGAGGAATACTGTCGTAGAAGGAAAACTCTTCGATGTCATGGCCTTCAGGAAGCCGATGGCATCATCAGCTGTTCCAGACTTTGATACATACAAAATAAAGGGGTCAATAAATGGTGGAAATTCATGATTTCTCATCATCCCCAACAATTTCAAAGCTTCTCTGAATTCCCCTCGAACCAATAGCTTGTTTATCAATTCTTTATATGTAGAATGCCATGGTTTTAGCTGCTTTTCATCAACAAGATCACAGAGAAGACGGCTACCATCAGTTTCGCGTTTCTTTTGACAGTAAGCATTGACCACTAAATCCAAAGCATATCCAGCACAACAGTCCACGCCTTTTTCAAACATTTTGTGGATGCAATCAGAAGCTTTAGCAAGATCTCCAGCAACACAATAACCTTCAATCAGAGCTGCCCAGGTCTTGTTGTCTGAATTACAGCCAGAAGCTTCTAAGCTATTCACGAAATCATTTGCTTCATCACTTTTTCCAGTACTACTAAGTTGATATGCTACCTTTCTCTTCAAACCGCCACTAAATACGTATCCATACTCCTTCATTGCATTTAAAACCTCGTTGTACTCTCCAATCCTACCAACAGTAGACAGAGACTTGAGAACTGCAAAAACCATTGAATCCGTCAATGCATTGCCTGTCTCTGTAAATATCTTCAATGCCCTTGAGAACATACTAAGATCTAAGTGCTTGCTAACTGTTATTTTCTTTAACAGAAAAGTAAGACAATCAACCGAAGGCTTATTGCCTCCTGCCATTGCAAACACATATAAGTTTACAGCCTCCTCAATCATTCTTCTTGCACAAAATCGTCTCAACACCTCAGAAAATGTCTCCACCTCCATTTCGTAACCATGGCTCCTCATTTCATCAACTACTTTCCAAAATCTATCGATACTATCTTCCCTACCTAACACCCTTGCCATGCCATTATAAGTCTGTTCATCATGCTTAAACATCCCACTCTCACCAATCCACCGGAAAAATATAAATGCTTTTGCTGGTTCTGTACAAAGATTCTCCAATATCATCTTAACCATATCACTTGAAAATGAAACGTTCATATCACGCAATTGCTGCTCAACATCATTTCCCCACACATTTTTCCTAACAAGTTTGCAAACGACTGAACCCATCTTCTCGGGAGACTTGTCAATAGATCCTGATGCAAAGACGTCTCTCAACCTCTCAGCTTCACTCTCCAATCCATCCTTCTCAAACTTCTCCAATACCTTATTCTGTACACTTTTAGATATCCCATAACCCTTTTTCTTGATATCACAGTTCAAATCCCAAAACTCCTCAACACGGCCATTAACTCCTAGGATTCCAAGCATCAAGTTATACGACTTGGAGCTAAGTTTCTCGCCATAATCCCCCGAAACCCAACCGAAAAACCTTATAGCCTCATCAGGGTTCGACTCAAGCTTCCCCAACACCTCCAACACCAAATCATGACTAATAACAACACCACTCGACTCTAAGCCTTTCCTAATTTCATCCACATCCCGACATTTAGAGAAAATATCAAACACAACAGCGTGAGCAGAGTCCTTCTGTCCAATCTCCGGTTCGGACGAGAGCATTCGAGGCGTGCAGTATCTAGAATTAACGATACTCGTGTCGTGAACAGGATACTTATGAAGCAGTGAAAAATAGCGAAGTGATGGCAGATTCGGATTGGAAAGAACCTGAAAGTGCGAGGAGTTGGATGAAAGGAGGAGCTGACACCGAAAATGAGCTCGCAAACCAAGCAGACTCCATGAGTATCTCATATTGCTGTTTTAGGGCACAGAATCGGGAGGTGGGCAATGCCAAATAGCGATGCAGAGAATTGGAGGGATAGAACAAGGATAAAAAGGTATTTAAGAAATAGAATATAAATTAATTAAATATTTAATTTTACACTTAAAAGAATTATAAGTTTATTAAAAATATATGTTAAATTAATAAAAATATTCGTAAAGTCTGAGATATTTTTTTAGTATTAATTTAAGAAAATATTTATTGGGAATGTATTTAAGATAAAAGGTGAACTGAAGGCTTTAAGGAAGGAGAACATGAAATTAAATAGAAGAGTAAATGAAAATGAATAACACGCGGTTAAAAGTTAAAACCATTAAAAAAATATGGTTAATTTTAATCAGACAATTAAAAAACCAAAGCACCCACAAAACACGGCAAAATGTCGGAATCCAAAGGAATTGGGAGAGAATTGTTTTGATTTATTTCTATCCATGTTTTTTCTTTTTTGCTTCGAAATATGACGTCAGCACCCCCTAATCCACAGGATCTAAACCCATCACTGCCAATATGGATATAGTTTTATTAATTATTATTTTAACAGGCAAGTGGATTACTTCAAGATTCGTCCACGTCAGATCATTAATTTTCCGCATGGGTACTTACGTGTAGTACCTGATCGAAACCCCCCCTCCCCTTGTCCAGCTGTCAAATCTTTCCCTTTATTTAAACCCACAGGTCAGCAACAAAATTCAATGCACAAATTTAAAAAAGAAAAAAAAGAAAAAAAAAAGTGAAATTTTTTCTCCGAAATTGGATGGCTAGAAGAATTTTAGCAACCCAATCGAAGACCCCCAAGCGGTTTTTTCTTTATACTTTCGATCGGCTATTGAACACCGCCGCCTCCTCCCCCGCTGCCGCCTTCACGGCTGCCTCCGCCTCTCCGCTCAATCTCACCGGCTCTCCGGCGACACCCACGGTTGATTTCACCGACACGAGTGCCTTATTTGGGTCTCTTTCGACGTTGGAACTCTTACGCGCCGCCGCCAATCTCCATCTCGCCGCCGTCGGCCCTGTCGTCGATGCTGGGATATGGATCATGAACTCTAAGCTGATGGACGTGGAATTGATTCGTGAGGCGATTTTGGGTAGTGTTAAGCATACGTTTTACCGACATTTCTGCGCCGGCGAGGACGACGCGGCGGTTAGGAAAACCGTCCGACGGCTTCACGACGTCGGGTTAAGGAGCATGCTTGATTACGCCCTGGAATATGCCGACGACGAGGAATCATGTGATCGGAATCTTGATGGGTTTCTTAAAACCATCGAAGCCATTAAATCGCTTCCGCCTGGTTCTGTAAGTTCGCTTGATCTTGATCCTGTTCTTCTCGTGTTTTCATGGCTATTCTATTTTCATTGCTAATTTTTTTTTTAATTACTATTTTAGCAATTAATGTAAGTTTAAATAAATATTAGTTCATGAAGTCATTCCAACTAATTATTAATTAAAATTAAAATTCTAGACTAAGAGAGCAAGTTTAAGAATTTAATTGAGATTTAAGCTAATCTTCTGCCATATTTATCTTATTTTAATTACATTTAAACTTAGCTTTTAAATTACGGCATTTCTATTTCCGATAAGCTCTGGTTTGAGTGTGCCAGACTTCATTTTATATAAATAAATAAATAAAAGTCAAATAAAAGAATATTCCTTTCGTTTCTGGAATGGTCAACGCTCATTAAATTAGACTTTTCTGCCACGTCGCTTTCTTTTATGGTTAATAAATTGCCACGTGGGTGCCAATTTATATAAAAAGATGGAATTTTTCATGTTTATCTATGTGAGACCCGAGATAGAAAAAAAGAAACATTCATTAAGAGGGTGTGTACACATCTTTCTAACCTATGCGTTTTAAAACTGTGAGACTGACAACGATATGTAAAATACTAAAACGGTCAATATTTACTAGTGGATGGACTTAGACTGTTATAGATAGTAGGTTTCAAGCAGTGTGTCATTGAGAATGTTGGCTCCTAGTGGGGTGGATTGTGAAATCCTCCATTAGTTGGGGAGAGAAATAAAACATTTTTTATAAGGATGTGAAAACATCTTATATTAGTTGGGGAGGAGAATGAAACACATATGGAAACCTTTCTCTAGTAGACGCGTTTTAAAGGTTTGAGATGAAGTCCGAAAGGAAAAACCTAAAGAGGACAATATCCGCTAGCGGTGGGCCTAGGCCGTTTCTAAAGCCTTGAGGTGAAGTTCGAAAGGGAAAACGGGCCGTTACCATCTCCCTAGCAGATACGTAACTAGCTAAAACACGTCACATATAAAACACGTCATATGTGGTAGGAAGGATAATTTAATAGCATTTTGTTTTATTTTTGTCGATGAATGGAAAACATTTCAAAATTGGCATCTTTGTGTTTGTTTCCTGAGAAAATTCTTGTATTTGACAATGACAGGCAAGTTTTGTGGTGGCTAAAGTTAGTGCAATTTGCCCATTGAGATTGCTTGAAAGAGTGAGTGATTTATTAAGATGGCAACACAAAAACCCTTGTTTAAATCTCCCATGGAAGTTCAAAACCTTACCAATTTTCTCAGACTCGAGCCCTTTATACCACACCCTCAAACACCCCACTCCCTTAACTCCTGAAGAAGAGAAAAGCCTCCAAATCAGCCACCAAAGGCTCATGAAAATCTGTCAAGCCTCTGCTGATGCCAACGTTCCTTTAGCCATCGATGCCGAGCACACCAAAGTTCAACCCGCCATTGATTACTTCACTTACTCTGCCGCCATTGATTACAACAAAGACCATAATCCCATCGTCTATGGCACTGTCCAAGCCTATTTGAAGGACGCCAAAGACCGATTGTTGTTGGTTACTAAGGCTGCTGACAATATGAAAATTCCTCTTGGGATTAAGCTAGTGAGGGGTGCTTATATGTCTAGTGAATCCAAACTCGCGTTGTCTTTAGGGTTTCCGTCTCCCATTCACGATACCATTCTCGATACTCACTCGTGCTACAATGGTTGTGCGTCGTTCTTACTCGACAACGTCGTTAAAAGCTCGAGTGGTGTTATTCTTGCAACCCACAACGTTGAATCAGGTAACAACTATTTAGTTTCTAATTTCGCTTTTATAGTTTGATAAAACTCTCGTGATCGGACCGGTGTCGGGTGTGTGTGTGTGTGTGTGTTGTGTAGGGAAATTGGCGGCTGCCAAAGCATATGAGATAGGGATCGGGAAGTTGAAGCACAAGTTGGAGTTTGCCCAATTGTATGGAATGTCGGAAGCTCTTTCCTTTGGGTTGAGAAATGCAGGGTTTCAAGTTAGCAAATACATGCCATTTGGCCCTGTGGATATGGTGATGCCATATCTTTTGAGAAGGGCGGAAGAGAATAGAGGTCTTCTATCTACGTCAAATCTCGATAGAAAACTTATGAGGTATGAACATATCTCTTGTCGAGACTGCTTTTTAATAACCGTCAGACTAGATTTTTCGTTTTCTAATCACTGTCGGATATAAAAGTGAATGACTTCCGATCTTTGAGATCTCATATTGGTTGGAGTCCTCTCGCCCGAGAGGAAAAATCCAAAGAGAATAATATGTAGTAGTAGTGTAATATGGTTGTTACATGATCACTATGTGGTGGTCTCATCAAATAACTCCTCCGACCCCCGATGGGCTTAGGGTACAACAAATTTTAACGCGTTTAATTGGTTGATGCTTGCAGGAAGGAGATGGCAAGGAGGGTGAAAGATTGCATGAGGTGAAAGAAAGAGCATTTTTTAGAAACATCAGCTACAGCGCCAAGATTTGCAATTTTAATTTTTTTTTTTTTTAAATTGAAGTTATTCATAGAATATGAAATGTCCTTTTCGACCTTACTAAAACAAGTGAATAATTTGTAAAATAGGGCGAAAATGATAAATTTAGAACTTTAGGTTAGGAGGAACATAAGTTTATATTATGGTTGTTTTTAAGAATTAATAAAGTAAATATTATGTTAATTATAAGTCATTATTAATTATAAAAAAAATAGCTATAATTTCTACGGCTCCAACAATAAGTGGTTGAAATTTTGAAATTACTCTATCCTTCACAAACAAAATAAAATATTTTGAAAATGAAATCAAAATTATTAAATAGACTAAATTTTATTTATTTATTTATTTTTCTATTTTGATTTAATCAATTTACTTTAAATAAATATTGAAATTAATATCTACGATTAACTTGAAGTTAATTTTTATTTAATTTTAACGAAGAAAATTACATAATTCGAACATATTTTTAAAAAAAAGTTTTATAGAGACCAAATTGGGTTTAGAAAGTTAATAATAATATAATTTTAAATATATATTTATGCTAAGTTTTAATTATTAATTTAACTAAAAAAATATTCTCTAAGCCCTCGTCCCAGCACTCTGAAGAATCTTACTCTATCTTTGTCTCTGTCCCTCGTTAATTTCCCGCCGGCGCTCTCTCTCCTTCTCCGGCCAACAGTAATCGGATTCTTATCATTCTCAATAAACAGATCGCTCCACAGGTTCTCATCAGCCTGCTGCAACCCTTACAAATAAAGTAATCGCAAGCGTTTTTTAGAATTTTTTCTTCAATGGGAGCCCTTTCTGGATCCTTTAGTTTCGTCTTCTTAATCCTTAATCGTTGTTGTAATTATCTTACTTGTTCAATTCAAAACTATATTTTCTTGTCGTATTATTTGTTACATTCGTCGATCAGTGTATTACATTTTCGAGAATCTAATCTTTTGCTTTTGGAGTTTTTAACATTTCCTCTCTCGATATTGATGCAGAAAGCAGAATAAAGTGGCATCGGTGGAAAGTGCTCGTAACTCGTTATAGACCATCCAAAAGCAGAATTTCACACAGTGTTCCAATTCCGTTTTGTTCTAGGTATAACTCAAACCTAACTACGAATTTGATTTGTAATGGTTGTGCTGAGGCTCTAGAGGTACGGGTTTTCTCGCTATCTACAACGATTTCGATGAATTTTTTATTTCTTTACCTGTCTGCTATGGAATTTGAAGTTGAGTTTGCTTAGAAGTGATGTTATATGATTGATCTCAAGTGCAATTTATTTCCGAAAGCTTGGACGGATGATTTGAAGGAAATTCATTTGTTTTTCCTTTGCAAGTATTATTGAGCTTCTGCATTATTGACAGGCTGCGCCCGTGCATGTTTATAGGAATTTCTGGGTAGTTTTCCAATTGACATTGCGTGGATAATTGATCGGATTCAGATTTTTTGCTGTGTATTTGAACTATTTCTGGGTAACTGCCATTTCGTTAGGCGATTCTTTTTCTTTTCTTCCCTGACATTTTTTCTGGGATAAATTGTTTATAGGACTTGATCTGTTTGATAGCTGTTTTTAGTTGTTTGTTGTCAACAAAATAAGTTTGTTTATTCAACTTGGATTTTGAAAACATGCAGAAAAAATATATGACAAAATCAAGAAATTCATAGGTATAAGTAGTATTTATAAGCTAAATTTTAAAAAAGAAGTTATTAAATTGGCCTAAAGGAGTTCAAAATTGGAAAAAAAACAGTTGTAAGTAAACAAAAGATTTTTTTTAAAAAAAATGAAATGGACCATGCAAACTCTTATTTGCTCTTTGTTGGGTTTGTTACATTACAACTCTTATTCACTGGTATTGTTTTTTAGAACCTGTTTGATATTTAGGAAGTAGGAAAGAGTGAACTGAAGCTCCCAGATTGTGCAGCCATGGTTACTTCCCAGCAACCTAAGAGAAGAGTGGCATTTGTGCTGATCGATGGGTTGGGTGATGTCTCGATACCAAAATTTGGATTTAAGACTCCTTTGCAAGTGGCCAAAGTTCCTAACTTGGATGCAATTGCTTCTGCTGGAGTTAATGGTCTCATGGACCCTGTCGAAGTAGGGTTGGGTTGTGGAAGTGACACAGCTCATCTTTCTCTTTTGGGCTATGACCCTAGAGTATATTATAGGGGTCGAGGTGCATTCGAATCCATGGGAGCTGGATTGGCTATGTCACCTGGAGATATTGCGTTCAAGGTGCACTTCCCAAAAATTTCCCCTTAAATTACATTACTTTTTAATAATTTATCAGTCTCTCTTGAAACTAGAATGCATATAGGATAGAAACATAATAATATTTTGTTAGTCTAGGATTTTAGTTTAGTAATGAAAAGATTAAAGAGAAGGCGATTATTGGCTTAGCTGGATGTTTTCTTTTCGTTGTTACTATATTCGTACCTTGTCTTCTCACTGCTTTTATCTATTTCATCTTCTCTATTCTTCTGGCTATATTTGTTGGGAATTGTGGATAGAGCATCAGTATATTTTCCTCCCCCATTTTTTAGTCTGCAAATTGACTAGTGGCTTCACAATTACAGTCGAACTTTGCTACATTGGACGAGAAGTCGGGAATAGTAACCAGTAGGAGGGCTGATAGACACTTTGAGGAGGAAGGGCCAATATTATGCGCATCACTTGATAGACTGAAGATACCAAGTTTCCCAGAGTATGAAGTTAGAGTGAGGTAGTTTTTTCTCTTTACATCATTAAAATCAGCGATTGTTTCTTCCTGTCTGGTTCATTCTATCAGTTTACAAATAGCCATATTTTATCGGGAAACATTTCATTATTATCAACTCTGCTGTTATTTGCTCGAGGCATTTAATTCCAAGGCTAGATAATAAGATTTATCTCATCCTCTTTTCTTTTTCTCCCTACAGGTATGCCACAGAGCATAGATGTGGCGTGGTTGTTAAAGGACCAAATTTGAGTGGGAATATATCGGGAACAGACCCTTTGAAGGACAACCGCTTGCTTTTGCAAGCAGAGGCTTTAGATGATTCTAAGGAAGCAAAGCTTACTGCAGCTGTTGTTAATGAGCTATCCAAGGAAATCTCACGAATCCTGGTCTCTCACCCAATAAATGCAAAGCGTGCAGCGGAAGGGAAGAACATAGCCAATCTTGTTCTTTTACGAGGTTGTGGGATTCGAATTGAGGTTTGTTCTTTTATATTTTCTACTATGCTATTTGCTCTGAGGTTTTTTATTCATGAGACTGCTATGTTGGTATTCATGCTTCCTTTTGTTTGGCTGCACCATCTGTTGATCAAATCAAGATATATACTCCGCTCTGGGTATGATGTTTGTACCATTGCCCTCTTACATATATGAAAGATAGACCCGGTTTCAATACGATGCGTAAATCATGCTCTTGAAAAACTTATATAATTCGAATCGGGTAGAAAACTTGAGATCTTTCATTGAGTCTTTTAGTGAGGTGTTATTCCATGATAGCAAGTGCATTGACGACCTTCAATGGACTGATAATTTGCATTCTGCATAACAGGTTCCTCCATTTGAGAAGAAACATGAGTTGTGGCCATGCATGGTGGCTCCCACCAAAATTATTGCTGGGCTCGGCTTATCGCTAGGAATCGATATCCTAGATGCTCCAGGAGCAACTGGAGATTATCGAACACTCTTAACCTCTAAAGCTACTGCAATCGCAAAGGGACTCTCAGCTCCTTTGCAATCTTGCCCCAATGTTTTTGTGCCAGGAGAAAATGAGCTCAAACCAGGTCGGACAGATGGTTATGATTTTGGGTTCCTTCATGTTAAGGTAGCTCCACTTTCTCCTCAACTCTCAAAAACTCGTCCATTCGTTAATATCTTATAAAAGTTATCATTGCATTTGCTGCTATGCCAAGCCCACCACTGCTACAAGATTATGGCTTTTTCATAATGGTTTTGTTGATTTATGACCATATTCGAAGTTGATCTCATGGCGTGGTTGGCGACCAATCTTGTAGGCAATAGACGATGCGGGGCACGATAAGGCAACTATATTCAAAGTTAAGGGAATGGAAGCTGTAGATAGAGCAATAGGACAGCTAGCCAAGCTTCTATGGAAGGCAGAATCTACTGGCAAGTTCCAGTACTACCTCTGTGTGACAGGAGACCACTCCACTCCAGTTGAGTATGGAGATCACAGCTTTGAGCCAGTTCCATTTACAATATGCAGATTGAAAGACTTTGTAGGCGCCGTGGGCGGGGAGTCGGTAATTGCAGGCATTTCTCTCGACCCGTTTCCCCTCCCGACGATCGTAGCCAGTGAGGACTTGGACTGGGTTTCAGAAGAGAGAAGCAAAGACTCCCAAGCCTTTGGTGGGGACTCAGTTTGTGAGTTTGATGAGATATCAGCTGCCAAGGGATGTCTTGGGCGCTTCCCTGGTGGAGAGATGATGGGTATCATAAAGAGATTCCTCAAGTTAGATGCATGAGTTGCTCAAATTTCTTCTATAATTACTCTGTTCTAAGAACTACAAATAAAAATATTTTGGAATAAGAGAAATATATTTCCACGACATTCTTTTTTATTATTTAAATAAACATCGTAATATTTTACAGATTAAGAATTTGATTGGATTATAATTATTGTTTAAAATCTAATTTTATTAAATTATAATTCAATTATTATTCGTAAGGTTTAATTACAACAATTCCTACCATTGCTATAATTAAAATAGAGACATTATATTCCTACTTTATTTTTTAATTTTCAGATTTAATGTAATTAAAATAATTATTTAGAAATTTGGAAATAAAAATGGTTTTCATCCAAAAATAATAATAATAATAATAATAATATATATATATATATATATATTATAAAAGAAATTAAAATTGGGACTGTCATGGCGGGTTCTTCTTCTTCTTCCTAAAAACAACAGTGGCGAGGAACTCTTCTCATTTCTTTACTTCTCCGATTTCAACCTCCTCCGCCGATGAGTTTTCCGGTGTCGGTTGATTGCCGAAGGTATATAAACCTACCCAATATTCTGGTTTTTATCGTCCTTCTCATTTCTTGAAAACCCTAAACTTTTCTTTCAGCAAGAACGAACGCTCATGTTCCCGTGCATCAATGAACATTGTCTAGTTTATTCGATGCTTTTTGATGGTATGTGTGATTTTCTTTTTCATTGGGTACACTCGAGAAGTGTTATTTCTTTAACGAATTCAATTTTGGATTTGCTGTATTGTTGCGCACCTTACAATTTAGGTTACGAAATGAAGTGTTATTTCGTTAATGATTTTTAAGTTTACATATTTAGGACTTTTCTTGCCTATATTGGCTTTTAGCTACTTGGTTAGCAACAGTTCTTTGATTTTGGTTGGTTGTTAGCCAGTTGAAGTAATGGTGTCTGTGTTATATTCTCTATAAACGCAGGTGATTTCTAGCTATTAAAATGGGCAGTAAAGGTCGCTTTCCGCCTCCACATACAAGGCGTCCTCTTCCAGGTTCTGGTGTACTGCATCCAGAAGCATTTGGTCATGGGGTTCGTCCTCCACCAGCTACATTTCCTCCCTTTGACATATTGCCTCCTCCAGAAGTAATGGAACAGAAGCTAGCTGGGCAACATGTTGAGATACAGAAACTCGCAACCGAGAATCAGAGGCTCGCTGCTACCCATGGAACCTTGAGGCAAGAGCTTGCTGCTGCGCAGCATGAGTTGCAGATTCTTCATGCTCAAATAGGAGCTGTGAAATCTGAAAGAGAACAGCAAACAAGGAATCTTTCTGATAAGATTGCAAAGATGGAAGCTGAATTACAAGCAGCTGAGCCAATTAAGTTAGAATTGCAGCAGACAAAAGCAGAAGCTCAGAACTTGATTGTAGCAAGGCAAGAACTTATTACTAGAGTGCAACATTTGACCCAAGATCTTCAGAGGGCCCATGCAGACGTGCAGCAGGTTCCAGTTTTGATGTCAGAACTTGAGAGTTTGAAGCAGGAATATCAGCATTGTAGGTGAGTAATCTGCATAGAATTTACCTTTTAGAGGGAATTTTTAAGATTTCACACAACTACTTATGTTAGTTTTTGTGTAGGATGCCTTTGTGGATTCAATCAAATTCAGTTTTCATCTTCTATGGTTCAGTTTCCTTAGTTATCCCTACTAGGCTTACGCGTCCTTATCTTGAGTCACTTCAAACAAAGAAGGATATGGAAAGAAAACCCCTTAATGCAAGGTTTCTTGCATTTAGGGTTAGGGAGTTCCTATTTTAAACTTGTTTGGGTTGAGTTCTTTGTTTGGAAAATGGCATGACCTAGTTATTGACCTTGCAGAGCGACCTATGACTATGAGAAAAAATTATACAATGATCATCTTGAGTCACTTCAAGTAATGGAAAAGAATTATGTCACTATGGCTAGGGAGCTGGAGAAGCTTAGGGCAGAGTTGACAAATACTGCTAGTTTAGACAGAAGACATGGTATTACTCCTCACCTTTATTTCAGGCTTTCTGTTGGATTATGTTTTACCCGTCTTGAATTTCCCTTTATCTACCGCTGATATTTGACGACTGCACATAGTTGGGCCTTATGGTACTACCCAAAACAATAAGATAGAGGCTTCTGGGCAACCAGCAGGACAAAATACTTATGAGGACGGCTATGGTGTTGGCCAGGTTTGTCACATTCATATATTCCACTTTCTGGTTTTCGTGAATTAATATTTTGTTCCTGAATTTTATAGTTCCTTCTTTTGGTGGGCTGTGAGGTCTCTTTTCCTGCCTACGTTTTAGCTGGGCTTCCCTCCTTCCCGATTGTTGAGAAAGTTCAGAAATGTTTATCTTCCTGAAAAGAAGCCTTATTTTCTAGGGGGAGAAGACGTTTTAAGCTAACATTTTTTTTTTATTAGAAACTGAATTTTCATTCAGAGAAAATATGAGAGAGTATATAAATAATAAACAGACGATAGGGCCTTAAGAAAATAACCTAGCAAAAGGAGCACAAAGTTATGGGCTCCAATCCCAATCTATACTTCGTCAGATTTCAATTTACTCTCTGGTTCTTTCAAGGAGACTTATTTTGTAACCGCCCAAACCCGCCGCTAACATTGTCCGCTTTGGCACGTTACGTATCGCTGTTGGCCTCCGGTTTTAAAACGTGTCTATAGGGAGAGATTTCCACACCCATATAAGGAATACTTTGTTCCCCTCTCCAATCGATGTGAAATCTCTCAATCTACCCCCTTGGGGGCCAGCGTCCTTGCTAGCACACCGCCTGGTGTCTGGCTCTGATACTATTTGTAACAGTCCAAGCCCACCGCTAACAAATATTGTCCACTTTGGCCGTTACATGTCACCGTCAGCCTCACGGTTTTAAAACGCGTCTAATAGGGAGAGATTTTCACACCTTTATAAGGAATATTTCATTCCCCTCTCCAACTGATGTGGGATCTCAAATATTTTCATTCTATATTCATGTTATTCGAGAAATATCTGTTTCTTATTATTTTTTCAAATCTAATATAATCTCTTTATTTAGGATTCCATCCTTGGTTAGTTGAAAATTATGATTTTTCTTTGCTTTTTTTNTTTTTTTTTTTTTTTTTTTTTTTTTTTTTTTTTTTTTTTTTTTTTTTTTTTTTTTTTTTTTTTTTTTTTTTTTTTTTTTTTTTTTTTTTTTTTTTTTTTTTTTTTTTTTTTGTATGTGATGGTAGACTTTGAGTAATGGGACCGAATCTCCTTGTGGCTTGTTGGCTGGATTTGCTTCATCCACATGTCACCAAGTTCAAGGAGCTGTTAGTGAGAGAGAGAGAGAGAGAGAGAGAGAAAAGATGAGTCATGAGGGGGTTGGCTTTCAATTCTCATCTGGTTGGGAACTTATGAGGATAGTTAAGTGAGAGTTTGTTCCAAAATGTCTGAAAAGGGCGGGTCAGCGTTTCTGAAACTTATTGTGTAATTATTTTTCCCTTTTGGTAAGCGGGGCCGTTGTGAAGGTTTCCCTCAGAACCTAAGGCGTAATGTTTTTTGATTTTGGTACAAATGGCAAAATGCTAATGAGTTCCTTACAATAATGACCAAAGCCAACTTGTGGAAGGAAATTTAGAAGTGTCCTCTCAAATTTCCAAACTTAACCAAATTCTTAAATGGGGGTGGTCCAATGTTCCATTTTTTGGCCAATTTTTGGGTTGACGATTCTCCTCTATATCATTTATTCCCTTGTCTATAGGTTTTGTCTTTTGCAACAAAAAAAAAAAAAAAAAAAAAAAAGGTGGGGTTCCCATGGAGTTTGTTTTCTTTTAACTTTCACCTCAGGGGGTAGAGCATTGTTGGATAGGGAAGTCGTGGATATGTCTATGTTGCAGTCCCTTTTACATAGTTTTTGTTTTAGATACGAGTTACAGCAAAAGGTGTATAATCTCTTAATTCCTTTTGTTTGTTCTCTTCAAAATATTTCTACTCCCACTTGCTTCATTACTCTTCCATTTCACAAAAGGCCAGGTTCTTCCTGCTGGCCAGATGCCATGCTTTGTTTGAACGTATCATGTGAAGTTAGACCACAAGATTTATATAACTTTTTATGGAGACAACTTTACGGTGAAGATTTTGGTTGGCTTTTGGAATTTATTTGGTGCTAGCTTGGCATCAAAGATGACTGTTCATCCTCTATTAAACTACTTTGTAATCCTCCTTTAGTTTTAATTCCTAATCATTGGAGCATCCTTTGGTAATTTCAACTCTTTCAATACAATTATAAAAAGACAATTGCAGTATGGACATGACTGGTGGTTTACACTCCAAAATCAGTATGTTGATTGAGTTTTATTTTTCCTAGTGATTTCCACTCACTGAAATTGTGCAATAGGGACGTGGTCAGCTGTCTGCTACTGTAGGTGGTGCATCCAATGCTGGTGCAACTGTATACACAGGACCTCAAACTGGTTCAACTGCAACACGACCCAACTTCGATCCAGCAAGGGGTTCCCAACGAGGACCTGGTTACGAAGGACCAAGAGGATCCATTTATGATTCCCAGAGGCCTGGTTATGATGGACAGAGAGGTCCAGGTTACAATGTGCCTGGGTTACGAGCTGGCTATGATGCTCACTCTAGACGTGTTGCAGGACATGCTGCACCTGGAAACACTGCTCCATATGGGTCTTCGACACCACCTGATCGTGGAGGTGGGTACAAAGCACCAGCTCGAGGTGGAGGAAACCCTGGTCGGAGATGATCTCCGAGCGAAAGGTACCATTGAGATAACCCTATGTTACTGAGTTTTCTCATCTTCCTTATCCAAGTTATATGCTGTGCATTTCTACAAAATTTGAATGAATGAGTGGAGAAGTTTACATTAACATCAAAGTCAAAATCATTTCTGTTTCAGTGCTTTATCATCTTCAGCTGCCTGATGAACTTATAGATAACCCAATATTCTCTATCTCAATAGCTATCTTTCATTATTTTCATTAATTCCATATTGAAATTTGCGAATGTACCTAGTGAAGGTAAAGTCAATATAGGCGTCCATCAGGTGAAATGGCACATCAAACTGCTCTGCAATTCTTTGTATTATGGGGA